TACCATAGAAATGATCATTGGATTAGGATCAACTAACCATTCCATCAAACGCAATCTCAAGTCACAAACTTTAGCAAAAAAAAAAAAAAAAAAACAGAGAACAGAGAACACATCCTTATATGGAGCACATCCTTATATGGAATAGCAGCAGAAAGCATCTCATATGTAGAATTCCACTGAGTGGGACAATCCAACACCAGTTTCTTAGAAACAGCCAGCTTTAGTTGCTGGGCAGTTCTGTGGAAAATTTCAACACCATATGTTTGTGTGTAACCCTTAGTCACAACTCTGGCTTTAAACCTTTCTATAGCCCCATCAAGAAGAAACTTAGTCTTGTAAACCCATTTGCAGTCTATTGGTGTGACATTAACAGGTCTATCAACAATATCCAAAGTCTTAACACACAAAGCAGTAACCTCCTCTTTCATAGGTTGCTTCCAGCATGGATGATGAACAACATGGGAGTAAGTCTGAGGATCTGGAGCCATGGAAATGGATAACGTGTAATTTTTGAGAGAAGAGGAATGATGATAGTAGGGGATGCTGTGTGAAAGAGGGTAAAGAAGTTTGTCATCAAAAGAGGTAGAGTTGGACTGAGAAAGAAAAGAGGTGTGAAACGAGTCTAGATGTTTGGGAGGTCTGGTGACTCTTTGAGGCTTTCGAAGAGCAATAGGTAGAGAAGGTTGCGAAGGGGAGGAAGTGAGAGGTGGTGTGGGAGATGGATGAGGTGTAAGAAGAGAGGAAGACATAGCTGCCCCTTTCTCTCCTTTTACAGCCTCGTGGACGGACGAAAGAAGGGCATGAAGTTACAGAACGGGGAAGTGGGCTCGCGAAGTAGACAACAAACAACAGCTTCTCAGCCACCTTTACTTTCTATTATATATATAACATGAGCGATTCTATTCTATTAGTAAAGCGCTAGCGCGCCCCTATCTCTAAAAGTCTGGATCAGTAGATTCATGGAAGTTATGATCTGGAGGAAGGGGAAGATCATCAAAGTAGAAGGTAGGGACATGACCAGAAGAGGAAGGAGCAGTAGGGGTAGAAGAAGTGTGAGAAGTCAAGAAGGGGAATTTAGACTCATTAAACTCAACATCTCTGCTGGTAAACACTGAGTGTGCTTCAAGATCATATAGTTTGAATCCATTAACACCAAAACTTTTTCCTAGAAAGACTGCCTTGACAGCTCGAGGTGCAAACTTTGGCTTGTGGTCTTGAACATTCGTGGAAAAGGCAACGCAGCCAAACACCCTAAGATTACTGTAATCTGGTGGTATCCCAAGCAAAGACTCAAATTGCAGCAGAACCCTGACTTGAGACCTGTGGCTCATCAAATACAACCAAGTACAACGACTATGGTCATCAACAATAGTAAGAAAATACTCATAAGCCATCATGTGAAACAACATTAACTAGCCTCCAAATGTCACAATGTATCAAATCAAAAGGTTTTTTTTGGAATAAGAAGTACTTTTAGGAAATGGTAAACGCTTCTATTTGGACAAATGATAAACGTCACAGTCAAAGGTGAGGTTTGAAAGTCTCTCTGGGCCACTGGGATCTCCAAGAGATAGATTCATCTACTTACTGGGATTAAACCAATCCTCTTTTGAGAGATAAGGTCCTTAATGTGACAAAAAGTGGATTGAAACAATAATGAGACAGAGCTATTTTTGGTAAGCGGGCTAACAAAAATCAGGTTATAAGAGAAAGAGGGTACCAAAGGAACATTGGTAAGGAAAATGCCACAAGGCAACTTAATAACACCTAGATGTGTAACTGATGCTCGTTGGCCATTTGGTAGGCTGACAGACACATCATTCACTTTCTTACACCTCAAGAACAAATCAATGGAGCAAATGATATGATCACTTACTCCTGTATATAAAACCCACATACATTGACTAGGCTTATGTGTTAATGTGGAGAGTGATAAAGCACTGGACATAGGTAATGATCTAGTAACTACAGAATTAGCTTGAGATGATCCATGTGAACTAGAGGGAGATTGCAGTAAAGCCTTCAACCTGTTAAGCTCATCAATAGTGAAACCAGAAAAGGTTGCTGAATTTGGTTCCTGTTGACTCACAGGACTAGTAGGAGAATAGGAACTAACTCCTCCTGAAATGTTGCCCTCGACAACATTGACATCCACAAATGAACAAACCCTCTTCCAGGATTGTTACCAAGTAAACCATTCTTTCTTTTGAGTTTCCAACAGTCCTCCTTGACATGGTTGTCCTTTTTGAAATATATGCAAAAGAGACCTCCTGGTTGATGCTCAGACTGGTTCTTATTCTTTGGTTGATTATATTGAGACTTGGATGCTGCTAAGGCAGTAGCAAGGTCTATAGCTTCTTCAGATTTTCCAGCATTAACATTAGCTCCATCAAGCTTCCTTTCAAGTTAAAGAACAGACCGATAAATGTTATCCAGATTTGGGAGTGGATCCAACATGAGAATTTGGGTCTTAACTTTATGATATTTTGCATTCAAACCTTGCAGTAAACGAATCACCCTTCCCCTCCCTTCATATCTCATAACAGTAGCATAAGTACAGTGGCACAGTCACAGTATGTAATAGGGAGATAAGTTTGCAATTCATCCCATAACAGCTTGAGATTTGTATAATACTGTCTAATAGTTTATTACCCTGCTTAGCTAGGTCAACTTTCTCCTGGAGATTACCCTTGGCCAAATTTGGATTTCAGATAAGTCCAAACTTCTGAGGCGATTTTGATGTTTCGAAGACTAGGAACAATTTGTTCAGATACAAAGTTTCTGATCCAGCAGACAATAGTGCCATTCACACGATTCCAAGTCCCATAAGATGGATCTGTCAAAGGAGGTACCTGAATAGTGCCCAGAACGAAACCTAGCTTGTTCTTGTTGTGCAGGGCAATCTCCATGGACTCGCTCCAAAGGAGGTAATTTTCATCTGTCAGCTTGAAGCCGATGACTGGGAGAAAGGAATTGTTGTTTTGAGGCAGGTAGAACGGGCTGGAGTAAGGGTCTTCATAGCGAGGAGAAGGTGGTGGAGGAGGAACCGACTACTCAGTTCCAGACATGATGTTGTAAGAAGAAAAAGTGTAAGATATAAAAAGGGTGAAGGTAATCAGTAGCCTAGCCAACCAGGCTCTGATACCATGAGAAGAAAGTAAGAACTAGTGGTTGTTACGGTTTGGAATCAAAGAGAAACTGTCAGAATGGTGGAATTTGGCATCTTGCCTTCTCATTCCTTTCTCAGCAGAATATATACAACAACAGTTAATTCCAGAGTTCATAATCTACTATTCTAACGGCTAATTACAACTACTGAATTAATGTAGCCAATCAGAAGTGGACAAGTGTCTAGAGTTTAGTCTCCGTTTGTAAAATATTTCTATGTAGCAGAACAACATTGTCATTCTTTATTTATTCACTATCGGGTTTGCTGATCCGGGTTAAAGGAAGCCCAAACCAAACTCGACGCGAACTCAGGACTTCATCTTCTTTCTTAGCAAAGTGATGCTTCTGATACTTTGTCATTATGCAATTGGAACACTATGCTTGACTCCCACGTCAAACTTGTATATCTTATGACAATGAGAAAGCACCCAAAAAAACTCCAGCAAAATATGTTGCCCTTGGCTCACTTGGGAGGAGGGTTCCAAATCGACCAACATGTTTCTCCAGTTTAACATCTTCATCAGATGCGCCTTCCAAATCTCATCCCATGGCACAAGCAACACCTAATAGGTACCTTGTGTAATTCATTTCACATTGTTCAATCATGTTGAAATTACTCTTTTTTTTTTTTTTTTTGCAGCTCCTAAAAGGGCAAAAGAACCCATTGTTGCAACTGATATCATGCCACAAAGGGCAAGAGAACCCCTAGTTGAGAGAAATAAGCCTTTACCTCAGGAGTAACCGGCTATGGAAAATGCAGAGCTGGAACCAACTATGGAAGATGCACATGTGGAACTAACCGATAGAGGCGAGTTTTATTTAATGATGTTGATTTGTAACTCCAAATAATAATTATTGTTGCAATGAATCTGCCAATTTAATTGATTTTTTGCTGTTGGGTTTTGCTGCTTGTTTTCGCTGCAGCTAGACAGAAAAATGTACAAGGGATTAGCAATTGTAAGGTTGTTGCTAGACTGAGGCGTGGTGAGAATCTGCCTATCGCATTCTACAACAATCATGGTGTTGGGCCAAATAGAGAAACTTGGTCAAGCTTTATTGGATTAGTTGTTCGGAATCCCTACTCATTCAGATCAAGAAAATGAAAGTCAAACAGTCGTGCAGAACTTGAGCATATGTGGGCTGTAGTTACAGTAAGGAACAATATGCAATTATGTCTTTCATTTTTGACTACCAAGTTATTCATGCAATCTTTTTGAGTGTTTGAAGATACCTAATGTTTGATAACAATGATTGCAGGAGTATTTCCATAATCCCAATATGATAACTATAAGTATCATATATTCATATTTTAATTCATATGAGGGATCGTTGGAACAAATGGAGGTCTGTTTTGTATCGTGAGTATGCAAATCCATGTGGATCTGAAGAAGAAGCTGTGAAAAATAAGCCCCATATAGTAGGTAACCAAGAAGATTGAGAATAGTGTGTGAAACATGTTTTCCATAGTGCTCAATTTTAGGTAGTGAAAATTTGCTCTATATGTACTTATAATATTGATTTGTATGATTAATTGGAATTTCTAATTTATTTTCGAAAATTACAGAAATTGAGCATGAACAATGGGTTGAATAGAATGAAAAAAAAATATGAATCATCATAGTGGAAGCAAGCCTAATCGAGAATATTTCTATGAAATGGTATCATCTATAAGTTGTTGGTGGTGTTTATGTTTATGTTTATGCTGCTGCTTATGTTTATGTTTTTGCTGCTGCTCACATTTTGCTTTTGCTGTTTATTGTTTATGCCTATGCAATTTATTGTTTATCTTTTTGCAGAATGGTTATTTCATTAGTTGTGAATGATTTTGGTTCATTTATATCATGTTGATCGGGTGAAAAAGATGGGAGTCTTCTGACTATAGATAAAGTGTTTTTTTAGTCACATAAAAGCAATGGTGAAATAAAGGAACCAACAACAAAAGAGAGACATGTAATATTAAATCTTTAAGTTTGAAGTTTTGTTCATATATATTCACTATGGTTTATGATTGTTAATTATTTTATTTTTATAGGTTGGACTTTTTGTAACACGTGAAGCTAATCTAGAGTTGGAGCCGATGGAATTGGTAGAGAAGTACTATGGAAAACAAAGACATGAACATATAATTGGATTTGGAGGCAGATTGAGGCCGAAAGACTTGAATGGTTCAGATGCATTAAGAAGGATAGAATTGGCAAGCAAACTAAGGGAATCTAATGGAGAGAAGGCAGACATGGCAGCTGTAATAGCAGAGCAAGTCAATGTTATTTCAGAGATGAGAGACATGATGGAAAGGATGAACCAGAGGTCTAGTGGTACATCAGCAACTCAAAATGGCCAATCTTAAGTATGTATCCTTTACTTCTGTCATCTGAAGTCCTATGTTGATGCTTCTCATTTGTGTTTATGTTATAAAGCCTAGATACTAATATTGTCCATTCTTTTTATTCACGACAAGTATAGATGTGATTCATGACACCAACTAACCTTTTGCTTCTGGAGGATAAGATGAAATATAAATCTAGAATATGAGGAGTTTTAGATGTTTGTTGAAATCTTTTAAATGAGTTTGGATGGGTGTCATGTAATAGTTAGTTAGCTTTTGGATGGTTTGAAATATTTAAAACTCTTCTGGCTATTGATGTAAGAGTAGTTTATTCTGGAATAAGTAGTTTATTCGAGAACTCTTTTGACTAGTGATGTAGAATGTAATGTTGTTATTTTGGACTAAGTGTGCAAGTTTGTATAAATCAAAGTTAAGAAAAAGTTGATGCATTGATTCCTGACTTACATTGCATAGAGAACTTGCAATCCCATCCCATTTCAGCAGCTCAATCTATTGCCCATGTACAACAAATTGTAAACCATTCTGGTAAATAGGATTAATATACATTGCCCAGATTTGCAGCATTACGAACTTGGTAGCTTGTGCAGATTTGAAGCATGTCGAACTCGTAACTGGGGAAAAGATTAAAATATGATTTTTATCCCATGCTGTAGGCTCGAACCAGGTAGCTAAACAAAAAAAACTACAAGCAAACTACCAATCTAACCATATTGCCAAATCCATTTTATCATCAATTATTTCAATAAGCTTGTATGTATCCTTTATCCATAGGAAGCCCATGTCAAACCAGTCCATGGACGTTTGTTTTTGTCTAGTACGACGACAAAACTCTAAACAATCATAATAACTACTCACTTATCCGATTGGAGTAATTTTTTTATTTCATATAACTTTTCGAGATTTACGTAGTTGCAAATCGGCGAAGGCGGTTTGGTCCCGACTTTCTCCAAAAAAGGTCAATTAGTGGTCAATACTTTCGATTGAGGATCTCAAGGATTTGAGGGAAGAAGGTGTCACTACTTTTGACTCATAGAAAGGACACAACTTTCAATTACATGCAGCCTTATTGTGGACAATCAACGATTCTCCAGTTTATGCAAACTTATCTGGGTGGAGCACTAACGAAAGGTTAGCTTGTCATGTCTACAACAAGGAAACTATGTCTGATTGGTTGTATAATAAAAGAAAGTTTTGTTACATGGGTGACCGACGTTGGCTCTCAAATGGTCATAGATGGAGGAAAAACGAAGATTCTTTTGATTGGACAAGTGAGACACAAGGACAGCTAAGAATATATCCAGGAGATGAAATACTTGATCAAGTTAAAGAATTCGAGGGCATTTTTTTAACAAAATGATCAAAAGCAAAAGTGAAGGTATCACACAAAGAAAGAGGATACAATTGGAATAAGAAAAGCATTTATTCTTCAATATTGGAAAACATTGTTGTTGCGTTATAATTTAGACGTGATGCACATTGAGAAGAATGTTTGCAATAATGTGCTCGAGACAATCATGGATTTGAAGGGAATTTCCAAAGATACTATCAAAGCACGTCTTGACCTAGAGGAGATGGCACTAAAACTAGAATTACATCCCATTAGAGAAGGTGGAAAGTTGGATATGCCACGAGAAAATACACATTGATGCGAGAGGATAAACGTAAGTTTTTGATATGATCCCAAATAGCCAACTCTACACATTTAAATTACTTGGCGAAGACGCTATCGAAGTTGGGAAGAAGAAGGGCAGAATTTGGTTAAGTGTTGGAACAGTTTCAGGTAGCCTACTTTGGAGGCTTGGTTCTCTCAATTGGCTCAATGAAAATTCAAGTTTGATAGCTTCTTTTGACTATGAGAAGTTTATCTATACAATGGTATGCTTGGTATCTCAAGAGGAAGTCCATAAGGTCATTTTCCAGACATCCAAAGATGCTATCTGGAAATCTGAAAAACTGCCTGAAAATGACCAAGGCAGAAAACTATTTTGTGAAGCATAGTTTGAAGAACGATTTGAGGAGCATGGATCTGATTCAAGTCAAAAAGCTTCCACAACATGAAATTAGGTATGTTTATCTACCAAGGAAAGGAATTGGATGGAAGATTGGAGTTCTTGAAGGCCTCGAACGAAAGGCACGAAGTTAGTACGAAAACTATTTTGTAGCAGTTTGCTTGTGCTAAAAGGCATCTTAGTTGTGCTTGAAGAAAGAGAGTTTGAGTCCGAATTTTGTAACCTTTTTAGAGTAGATTTTACCTTGATTTTTCCTAGTTCTATTAGGTTTTTATTGCTTTAAATACCTCTCAATTCACGTTGTAAATCAGAGAAGAATATTATTGAATGAAAATTACTCCTACGTGAGTGTTTCGAGTTCTTGAGTTGTGTCTTAAGAGTTTACCATTGTCATTAGCTTCGAGTAGATTCCTTAGCTAATTACAAGAACCTTGTGAAGCTATTTTGCGTGGATTGCAAAATCTTTTAGCAAGTTCTCTTAGCAATCGATTTATCACGTCCATTGTGGCAAGAATTCTACCATCCGTTTTATCTTTCATTGAAGAGTTCAAGCTGTACATTCTGATCAAACAAAGCACAGGCCCCTGGATAGAAACCAGGCTCTGATACCACTTGATAAACACCCAAGGGGCGTGCTTTGTTTTATCAGAATGCGCAGCTCGAAGTCTTTAAAGGGTTAATAGCATATCTTGCCCCTCTACTATGTACTTTTCTCAAACTTTCCCTTCTATTATGATTCACATCAAACTTACCCCCTCTACTATGATAAATTCTCAAACATACCCCTCAGTTACATTTTCCATCCAAAATCGTTAAATTTGGTCAAACCATGGTCTAACATGCCAGAAAAGACCACTGATTAGTCTCATATTCAATCCTCTCCGCGTGTTCCTCTCCAAATTCATACAGTTGATCCTCAATTATTATATTGTGTAGAATAACACATGTTAGCATAATTTCTCACAGTGTTTGCAAATCCCAAAACTGACCCAGTATTCTAACAATGACCCATCTTTCTTATAGAATGCCAAATGCTCTCTCAACATCCTTGCAGTATGCCTCTTGCCATTTTGCAAACAACTTCTTCTTTTGGTTATTAGTATTGCTAATGTTTTTCACAAATGTAGACCATTGAGGATAAATCTTGTCAGCCAAGTAAGAACATTGAACGCAAATTGTACCATTTACCTTATACCGTCAGCCACAATATTATTAAAGTTGGATGGAAAATTAATTAATGGTTGATAAACAGTTGATGAAAACACTCAATATGATTAAAACTGGATGAACAGTCGATGACACCACTCATTCTGATTAAAACTGCACGAACAGTCGATGCCACCACTCATTCTAATTGAAGTTGGGTGAATAGTTTATGGCAAAACTCATTCTGTAATACATGTGATGAACTATGGTCTTCTGAAAAATTATTTTGGTTTCGTCATTGACGACTTCATATTTAATTAGTAACGCAAAATTATGTCAAACTTAAGAAAAATTATATAAAAAAGTCCTTAAATAATTATTACTAAGAGTCATGAAAGTACATCCAATGATTCTGATCCATCAAAGTTCATGAAAGTACATTCAACGTTCATATTACTAAGAGTTACGTTCTTCATATTCTACGATTATACTAGCCTTCACTACTAGAGGTCACAGTATTGAGTTGTGGTTTATGTTTAGAGACTTAAGGGCAATGGTTCACCCACTATAGGGCAGCATTTAGTAACATACCCAAAACGACGATAAATTCATGGTTTATATAGTTTCACCTTAGTGGCATTTATACTCCAATAATGCTATAAACCTAGAGTATATCATACTCCAGGTGTTCTTAGTGAGATATCTCTAACTACACCATGTATCAACTCCCCGTTTATACACTCAGACTAACTATGCAAATCTCCCTGACTTGCTAGCTCATAGTTTTCACTCAAAAAGACTACGATTGATCTCACAATGACACAACACTTTTTTTATCTCCTTGAAAATGCGAGTGCCAGTCTTACTTCTCTGTCTTTTTATAGTCCTCTATTCTTGAATTAGCCGTTGAGAAGAGTTTTGATTTGATTTCCCAGAATCTGCTGTAACCTTCCTTCTTGAGACTTGCCTTCTTTATTTTGATTGATTCCTTCGATTCTTTCCTTCTTTGCTATTGACAGGCTTCTCTCAACATGCTCCCCCTAAGCTTGTCAATGACTCATCTTGCTGTAATCGTATTCTCTACACACACTCAACACACCATTGGTGCATCTTTCTGTACGCGTTGTATAAAGAAATGCAATGAGGAGCTCTTATTTTATTTTATTTTATTTAAGAAGATTCTCAAAGGATACAGAACCTTTAATCAAACTCAAAACACGAACACAAGATAGACAGACTTGACACTAACAAACTGAACCCTACAAGACTTCTGTAGACCGAATACTGTAGCTCCCCCTATGGTGAGTAACCAGGTTTCTAGAAAGGATAGTTAGGAGGTGACTCATAGTCTGAGATCTCATCTCCAGAGCTAGAGTTAGAAGATATAGGATAAAAATGGTCCGGAGCAGGTACAATGTCATCAGTTTCGAGAAGTTCAAGATGCTCCTTGCACACTTGAAGTCGAGTAGTCATCACACTTCCAGTCTCCTTGCCTCATTTGATCTCACCTTCCATGGTTTTTACAGCAGCTTGAGTCAGGCCTGCAACCAATCCACTAGTGGCGCCATTTCCAGAGAACACGGAGCAGTTAGCTACTCCCCCTGAGCGAGAGATAAGCTTTCGACGTCCAACATTTGCATCCAGGCGATTTAGAACATGATTGGGACGCATCTCATCATGGATGTTGCAGACAACAACCTTGTCTCGAAGGTCAATCCCTAGGCGATGAAGGTAGCGAGTGATGAGAGGGCAAAAGGGAAAAGGTCCACTGTAGCCACCATCACCAAACCAAATCATGTGCGCGAACACAAGTGAGGCATAGCTAATAGGATGACGGGCGCG